GACCCTTATTGAATTTAGTACCTAAAAAAGGGTAATATTAGTATTTTAACTAGTGATGTTATAGAGATCATTTTTTTATTAAATTTTCACTTTATATAAAACAATGGAGGGGAATCATGTCAATATTTTGAAATCATAGGATAGCCATCTGACATCATATAAAAGTACGGTAGGTTATGAGTAATTTACCCGAGAAAAATCATTTAGTCCGCCCTATAGGCCATTATGATCCCGAACAAATCTAAAATCCCCAGAATGAGTTGGTGACCTTACACCTTAACTGTGTCAAAATCACACAGCCTTAGAACTTGGGTCCAAATTCGTACCTAATATTTAAAAAAATTCAGGGGTATGATGCATAAAAAAAGGGCAAACTGTTAATTTTGTTTATTATGAATATAGAAAAAATGTATCAGCCCTCGATACTAATTATTCTAGTCTTTTAAAAAATTTAGTCAGCAAAAATGCCTCAGCATGGACGCAACAACCATCAATTTTTGTATCCTAGGATAGAATAGAAGTAAAGAACAGCAAATCCATATGCTAAATTAAATTGTAATGAGAGAGAACCAAAAAAAGAAGAAAAAAATGCACATAATTAATTTTCTTTACCAGGATGATAGCTTTAAGGGAATCTCGGCCAAAAGCAAAACCAGCAGCACTTGTTTTCTGGATTTCAAGCAAAACATCCACAAAATTCTGCTGCTGTTTCTTATCATTACCATCACTACGGCTTTCCTTTTCCTCCTGCCTCTTCATTCCCTCTTCAACAATCTTTTCCAAATATTCATCAAAATCATAGACCACTTTTTTCATCTTTGCTTCCAAGCCATTAACATTATTAATCCATGCAAGCCATGGGATGTAATCTCCAACGTTAAAAGCACCCAATAACATAGTAAAATCCTCAAATATTTCCTTAAACTTGCTCCCACTTTCCTCTCCTGAGTACCTTTTTCCAATGGCAACCCTCGAAACTATGTTGTTAGTAAGTGTTGCCAAAATTTCATCAATACGTATGACCGAAGAAGAAGCACAAGATTTTCGAACTTTTTCTAACATTATTTCCATCTCTTCCTCTCTTATGTTTCGAAATGACTGAACCCTCTTGTTACTCAAAAGCTGAAGTACACAAATACTTCTTACCTGCCTCCAATATTCGCCATAGGGGGAAAACGTTATGTCCTTGAAATTGTAGAGTAACCTCCCGGCAAAGACTGGTTTAGGCCTAGTGGCAAAGATTAAATCATGAGTTTTCATGACTTCTTCAGCTGCATCAGGGGAGGAGATAATTAACACTGGCTTGCGGCCTAGATGAAGCAGCATTGGCGAACCGTATTTTTGGGCTAATGATTTCAGAGAGCGTTGAGGGATTGAACCGAGCTGATGAAGGTTTCCGATTATGGGAAGCTTTGGTGGGGAAGGTGGAAGGTTCTGTGAGGTGTTTGAAGTAGAATTGCGGCATTTGAGAACATATATGATCACGAGGAAAGGAAGAAAGAAAGAGATTGAATGTTTTAAAAATAATGCTCTAATTTCCTCAATCGGAAATGTGTACATTTCTAAATTATTTTCTGAAATTGAGAACTGCTTTCTTTTCTTTGGGATCCCTACTGCACTTGCCTTCCACTAATACCTGTTTTAAAGATGAATTGAATCAAAATTTGTGAAGAAAAAAGAATCAAAGTGACAGGAAGCACTGCACATTGTCACCATCAAATAATTGTACTATCGTGATGCACGTTTTTTTTATTTGAGATTGAGATAAAAAAACCAAGTTTTTTTTTTTTTTTTAAAATTCCATCCTGTAGTATGTTCATCTTAAATTGGTATAAATGAAGACGGTTGTGATGTAATAATATTTATGTATAAGAAAATAGATTTTGAAAAAGATGCTTAAGAAAAGATATTGTGTATCCGCATGGGCTCAATTCACACGTCTTTACCGGGTCAGAGCATAGAAGAAGATATCATTTTCTGCCCTATAATTAACTTAAAGAATGAATTAGAGCCTATAAGATGAATCATATGGAAAAGTTGGTTTTCAATTTTAGATATGGAATTAGGAGTGGTATGTAATGATCTAGTTAATTGATCCTGCTTGAATGAGCAGAATCCAGAAAAGATAGAAAGAGACAGAGATAGAAATAGAAGAGAAAGAGAAGATTGGAGAAGGAAATGATGAGAGTATTATTACTGGGGGGTTTTTTTTCTACAAAACAGAATGAATCTTTACATCTCTTCCATACATCTGTATATAGCCAGCTATGGGCAATTGTTCAACTCGATGGATTGTCTAACCGACTGGAGCAGTTATTACTAACTTTTGTTACTAACTGTCCATTTGCTCGAGTAGCTATTGAGCTCATCATCATCAGTATCTGATCCTCATCTCCGGATGTTGATCATCACCATCATAACATGGTACTTTGCTAAATTCATAGGAAAACAAAATATTGCAACATGTTGCAGCCAAATGTTATGATGATGACTTCTAATTTTGGAATTAGTCTTTTGAAATCCAACCCATGGTATGCTCAAATTCAGCTAGAATGAAAAAACATAATTGTGGTGCACTAATAGCAAGCTATAAATGGAAATAAACACTCAACATTAGTTTACTATTGTTCGCAATCAAGATTTTGTTAAGCATATGTATCATGTATGAAAAAGAAATTGTGTTTATTTTGCATGCATAAATCACACATCTTTATTGAATTAGAAGCACAGAAGAAAGTAGGGTAAATTACTCATAGGCCTCTCTGTACTTTTGCATACTATCACATGACTCCCAAAAGTTTCAAAATAATCGTATAACTTCCTATAATTTTATATAAAGTGAAAAATAGATGGAAAACATCTTTGGTTAACACGATTGACTGAGACGCACTCCAAAAATACGTGTAATAAAATAAGGGAAAAGAATCCCAATGCCCCGCCAATTGTTTCCCAGATAAAGTTTTAGTCCTCCAACAATTAACGGCAAAGGTTTGGCCCTCGATATAATAAAATAGCATATTTGTGACCCTTCCGTCAAATTCAGCAGTTAAAATTCACAGGAAGCATCATCTCGTGAGACGCGCGACCAAATATCAAGGGTTTTATAGTCTTTAAAGAAGAACACAAATTCTGCCAAATTGCTACTTACTCGGGAACTCCTGGGATGGCATGTATCTTGCCCAACCTCTCCTCGGCAATCATCCAATCCAAGGAAAAATCACTCCACCCCTCCTCCTCCTCTCCTTCACCTCTCATCTGCGTCTCTTTTTCTGCGTCTACCCCACCGTGGTCGATTTGAGAACCCTCTTAACCCTTTGGAGATGGCCACCGTAGGAGATGAGAAGTACCAGCGTTAGCATCAGGGGACGTGGAAACTTATACTTGGCCAGTAGGATTTCAGAAGCAAAGCCGGAGGCCACGCGTCCTAAATAGGACCATATGCTTACTAGTGACACGAATGTGGCAATGCTCTTCTTGGGATAGCCCAAGGATTTGCCAATTTGGCCCAAATTATCAATTGCCGTTAACGTCCCGCCCACCCCAAATGTTGTAGCCGCGAACAGAATTAGCATATCGATGCTGCACACCGCTTGCAGGATTGTGTGATCCTCTTCCCTTTCCGGTGGCCTGAACACCTTGCCGAAGCAAGAAACGTGCGTTCTTCTTGATTCGGTGGATCAGCGAGAGGCGTCTCTGCTTTAGCTGCCTGTGGTGCAAACTCACTTGCCGGTGGTGGATCATATGAGGTTTCTCCTCTCTTTCTCTTCCAAAGTTTGAACACCTCCGTTATGACAACAAGCAAGTGCATAGAAAGCAAAACAATCACCACAGAAGCACTTGCCCGCACTCTAACCTAGTACTTAACAAGGGGCTAAAAGGAACGCTGGTACTTAACGTAGCAACAATGAGTCTGATCTCTAATTTCTTCTCCAATAAGACGATTTGGCCTGCTGCTGAGAAAGGCTCAACGTTACACATAATTGATTTTTGTATTCTAGGTTCCACGGCAGAATCTTGTTCAGTGAGATTTCACTTCAGTACTAAGGATTTGGCAGCCATTTGAGAATTTGATTCTGATCAGATGGAACTTGAGGGGAAAATGTTGGAGCGAAAGGAGTGGAAATTGTTGGAGCGAAAATCAGTGGTGAAAATGTTTTTACTCTGTCCTAGGAAAGAGACTATAATGCCCTTCATATTTGATCGCGCATCTCACGAGATGATACTTTCCGTCAATTTTAACTGCTGGATTTAACAGAAGGATCACAAATATGCTATTTTATTAGAGCGAGGGTCAAAACTTTACCGTTAATTGTTGGAGGACTAAAACTTTACCTGGGAAAGAGTTGGAGGGCCATTGGAACTCTTTTCCCATAAAATAATGATATCCACTTAACCTCCTAAAATTTTGTATAAATTTTCACTCAAACCCTATAATTTTGCATAAATATTCACTTAACCCCTTATGATTTTGCATCAATTCACGATTTTATGTAAAATTTTTGGACCCTTATTCAATTTAGTACTTAAATAAGGGTAGTATTAGTATTTCAACTAATGATGTTATAGAGATCATTTTGATTAAATTTTCACTTTATATAAAACAATAGAGGAGAGTTATGTAGATATTTTGAAATCACAAAATAGCCATCTAGCATCATAAAAAAGTACAGTAGGTTATGAGTAATTTACCCAAGAAAAAATCATTTAGTCCACCCTATAGACCATTATGATCCCGAACAAATCTAAAATCCCAGAATGAGCTGGTGACAAAATCATACATTTTACATACAAGGACACAATCACACATTTTACATACAAGGACACAATGCTACTGTGTCAAAATCACATATTTTACATACAAGGACACAATGCTACCGATAATGCAATATTCCACCATTTTAAAAGTTTTTCCCATCAGACTCCATCTCAAATTTAAAGTTGTGACAAGATAGAATAATATACATATATCTACCAACATGGTATCTTGGATCTTGAAGGGCCTAATTAGGTAGACTTGCAACTAGTAGAAGTGGGACTTTCCTTGGTGTAACCATCCCATGTGCTTCAGTCATATCCAAATCTTCTGGTCTTGCTCCACCAACCAACTGAAAATCAAAGTTGCACATCAAATTTGCAAGTGCAAGTTCAGCTGTAACCATAGAAAACGCAGAACCGGGGCAGCTCCTCCTCCCAGAACCAAATGGGATGTACTCAAAATTTTGCCCTTTAATGTCCAAAGAGCTATTCAAGAACCTCTCTGGCCGAAATTCCTCAGCAGCTTCCCACAATTTTGGGTCCCTTCCGATCGCCCAAGCATTGATAATCACTTGAGTGCCGGCAGCTATATCGTATCCCATCAATTTGACTGCCTGGCTTGATTCACGAGGAAGAAGTAATGGAACTGGTGGATGCAAACGAAGAGCCTCTTTTATTACTGCTTTTAGGTAATGGAGATTCTCTAAATCATCTTCCTGGATGCATGATTTGCTTCCCAAGAATTGTCTCACTTCTTTTGCAATTGTTGCATGGCATTTGTGTTTCTTAATAATTCTGAAAGTGCCCACTCCAGCAGCGATGATGTTGTATCAGTTCCACCAACAAACATGTCCTGCAAAAACAAAAATAATGATAATAAAATCGGGACAGAGAAAGTTCTATGTCAAATTTCCGATACAAGCTACATGAAAACTTATATTTTGATTCCCTGAAGAAAAATTTGGTGTTTGCATGGTTGCAAACTCAAAATTGCTTGTTCTTTCAGTTATACGTCATAGGGACCTACCTCATAAAGACTATATTCCTATTCTACTTGTCTATGTTATTTTATGCTTTATAATAAGAATAGGTTATACAGATAAAATTTTTGAATTGTATAAAATATTCAAAAGGGGATAATTTCAGAAACCTCCCCCGAGGTTTCTGACAATTTCACTAAGCTCCCTTAAGATTTGAAAAATTACATTTATCTCCCTTGATTTAATAGTTTTAGTAACAAAATCTTGAAATAATATTGACTTAGACAATTTTTTAAATGAATACACAAAAATGCTCCTGTGGAATGAGTTTCAATTTATTTGCCTATACAATTACAAGATTTTTTAGTATAATTATAAGGAAAATGTGTCAAAATTTTCATGTCCATATCTACTATTTGTTAAACAAATATAATAATAATTTTATTACTATGATATGATATTTTTGATGGTATTTTATTATGAATTTAGATTTATAAGATAGAAAAGAAAATGTTAAAATAATTCATTTAGAATTTATAAATTTTTGAAGTAATAGGATTATCATAATTTAGCAGTGCTTTTGGGCCATTTCCTTTTGATTTATTGTTAAGTTTAATACCAAAAATAGAAAACAAAGATCAGCAAAACATTGGATTACATATAAAATTAACTCATTGAAAAAACACTAGTTCGGCTTTTGGTTATAATTGAAACCTAGAGGCAATAGTGGTAGTTCTACAATTTTATTGACGAAAAATTAAAAAAAAAAAGAGTAAGAAGGAAAAAGAATGAAAAATAATTTAAAACTCATTCTAAGAATAAGCATATCAAATAAGAGAATTTCATTAAATATTTAAGGGTAAATTATCATTTTAAATGATAAGGGGGGTATGTGTAATTTTTAAACCTTAAGGGACCTCAATGAAATTATCATAAATCTCAGGGGAGGTTTCTGTAATTATCCCTATTCAAAAGTATAGATATCTACTCAGAAGACAAAGAAGTTAATGAACAGACTAACTCAACCTTGGACCTTTATATTACGTTGCTAATTTTTGCTTTTCCCTCAATTCTTAACTCATTGCTTGTACCATTCGATACGGACCAAAATCACACAACCAAGATAAAAGAGTGCATCAACTGACTCACATAGCATGTCAAAATTATAGTTAATGGTTAGGGTGGTTTCAAACTGTTTGCAATATGGTGAAAGCCAGTTAACTTATGTTTGAATAGAAAAATATTCCAGCATCATCCCATTATGAGACATAGAAATATCCGGATGGTGTCACGATCTAATCAGCGGACAACAAAATGTTTTGGACTACTTCAACAAGGCGATGCTATACTTCTTTATCTGAATTTGTTATTTTTCCCAGGTGATTTGTGTGAGTTTTTGAAAATCAATTCTCAGAAAACCAAAGCTCAAATCCCATTCCGATCAGCTTTGCATTTTATACAAAAAAAATAACTTATGCAATTCACCATTGACAGACCAAACACTGCAAACTTAAGTATTAACAAAAGAACTGTAAAACTGTAACTGGGAAGATAATCAGAAGAAAGTTAATTTTCTTTACCATGATGATGGCTTTAAGGGAATCTCGCTCAAAAGCAAAATTGGTGGCATCTGTTTCCCTGGATTTCAAGCAAAACATCCACAAGATTCTGCTGCTGTTTCTCATCACCACCATTCTTGTTTCCTCTTTTGTCCTGCTTCTTTACTCCCTCTTCAAGAAGTTTTTCCAGATATTCATCGAAATCTTTGGCCACTTTTTTCACCTTTGCTTCCAAGCCATTGATATTATTTATCCATGCAAGCCATGGGATGTAATCTCCAACGTTGAAAACACCCAACAACATGGTAAATTCCCCAAAGAGTTCCTGAAACCTGCTCCCACTTTCCTCTCCCGAATACCTTTTCCAGTGGCAACTCTCGAAACTATATTGTTAGTAAGTGTTGCCAAAATTTTATTTATACGTATTACTGAAGACGAAGCACAAGATTCTCTAATTGTTTCCAACAATAGTGCAATCTCTTCTTCCCTTATGCTTCGAAATGACTGAACCCTCTTGTGACTTAGAAGCTGTAGTACACATATGCATTTTACCTGCCTCCAATACTCACCATAGGAAGCAAACGCTATGTCCTTGAAATTGTACAGAAGCCTTCCAGCAAAGCCTGCTTTAGGCCTATTGGCAAAGATTAAATCATGTGTTTTCATGACTTCTTCAGCTGCATCAGGGGAGGAGATAATTAACACCGGCTTGCTGCCTAGATGAAGCAGCATTGGGAACCGTATATTTGAGCTAATGATTTCAGAGAGCGTTGAGGGATTGAACCGAGTTGATGAAGGTTTCCGATTATGGGTAGCTTTGGAGGGGAAGGTGGAAGGTTTTGTGAGGGGTTTGAGGTGGAATTTCGCCATTTGACAACAAAGATAGTGAAGAGGAAACAAAGAAGTAACGAGATAGAATGTTTGAAGAAGAAGGCAATTATTTGCTCATTTGGAAGTGTATACATCTTTGCCTTTCCGTTCAGAAATGTGAATTGGTTTGCTATTTGCTTCGTTTGAGTTCCCTACTACACTTATTAGCTTCCGCTAAGTGCCACCTTTTATAGATAAATTGAAATGCAACTTCCAGAGGGGCAAAAAAGAAAAAAAAAATGAATGTAAGCCTCTCTTTACGTAATAGGGACAATAATCAGGTAACTAGAGATTTTTAGCCGGACTCTTAGGCCCTCCTGTTTTCCTTTGAAAGTGGTAGGAGTTTTAATTGAAAGTGAAAGTTGATACTAATTTTATTTGTGATTTAAATAGGAACAATAATCATGAATAATTAATGCATTAAATTGAATAAGGTTTATGCAACAAAATTGACAAACGTCCATTTTGCCTAATAGTTTGTGCATATTTTAGTTCAATTATAGTTAATTTTGAGCTCTTAAGACAATGTGAATGATCATTTGGGCAATATTTGATGCTTCTGAGTAACTTTGAGAAGACTTGTAAATTCATCGCATTTTACCTGTTAAAATTTATTATTTTTGGTAGGGATGAAAAAGTAAGGACAATCCAGGACTAGTTACAAAAAGTCATCACCAGATTTGATAAGAGTATACGGGGCCACACAATGAATTTCGAGTCAGATACTAAACCAGATACCTGCTAGAAGGTTTTGCAAGAGAAAAGGTATTGAGCAGTATATGGTATTAGATAGAAAGAGTCAAGCCAGATAGTCGTGCTAGATACTCTTCAAGGATTTTCCGAAGAAGAGTTGCTAGCAGTATATGGCGCCAAATAGTTGAAATTCATTTCAAATACCACGTCGAATACTTGAGCCAGAAGACAAAGGGTTGTGATGCGAACTTGATCCAACAAGAACCTGTCTTGAAGAATTAAGTCGATCAGGCAACGGAACGATCTATCTTGAATAGATTATGGATACAAAAGATGGATTCTATACCAATCAAAGACAGTTTGAGACTGTTTAGAAGGTAGTAAGGCGCCATAATTCAACGCGATCTTGAATTTATAAGCTAAAACTTGAACAAAGGAGACACAACTCACTTTGTATCAAGAGACGTTCACAAAAGAACAAGAAAAAGAGTTAAACTCTCATGTTTTCATAAAATCATCATCTCCCTGTTGCATGAAAGAGTTGCCTTTTTATAGGCTTACAAGACTCAACCCTAACCTAATTAAAATTTTGCAAATGAAAGAAACTCACAGCTTTAACTCACTTTAGTTGGTCACTGTAGTTGGCTAGACCTAAGCTAAACTAGTTAACTAATCTACTAACCACACAACTAACTATTGGTCAAATCAAACCCATACTCAACATGAGCTAATTCAAACCAACCAAACAACGAAACACTCACTAACATGGACTGAAAAAACATATAAGAGACTTGAATTTAACCCTATTCATTGGACCCCAACGAACCATTGTTTGATCTTGAAATTTGCATGGGCAACTCTTAGGAATTGTATCAAGTCGTGTCTTGCCCTTTGAGGCAAGACGCAAACTTTCAACAAATGTAGCACTTTTCTCATTCTTTTTCATGTTTTAGTGTAGGATAGAGTTAGATAATCTAGTTGTTGTCGATCCATTCTTGCGTTGGCTTGACAAAGAGATTGATAGAGATGAAGATGGAGAGATTCAAGAAGCTCTAGTGGCAAGGGTTTTTCTTCTCTCCATCTCTTTATCTTGTATTGGATTCTAAGTTTTGTTAATGCAAGTTCTGGATATTACATTTGTGATGCTATTTTAAAGTTTATGCCTTGGGTATTTGGGTGGACTATTTATGATTGTTATGTGTTGATTTCTTGGTTATTTTGGGCTATTATCTTAATTGAGTTATTTAGCACTTTAGCTCTCATAATCATGATTAACTGGCCATTAATTATGATTATCTAAAGGTGTCAAATTTGTAATGAAAATTGAAATTTGACACTAATTCATGAAAGTGTTAAGTACACTCACAAAAATAGCGGTGCATCTTTGTGACTTGTTTTGTAGTGATTTCATAGAAGCAAATAAGCTTATAGTTCATTTCATAACCACGAAAGTAGGTATGGATTAGCTGTAGGTCTATTTGGTACACCCGTGAAAGCAAGTATCACATACATAGGAAATTAAGCCATGGCTTAGCTGAGGTCTTAGTACTAATTTAGTTGGGAAGTTGCATTAGCATGAATAGATAGTGATTGCATTACCAACGGAGCTTTCATTTACATTTTTCTGCCCATCAGTAGTTTAGATCTATTTGTTTTAATTTGTCGATAGTTTAAGTAATAGAGAAATTTTAGTAGTCCCGGTAGTTGTCCGTTTTCCCTGTGGGTTCTACCTAAATTATCCTATACTCGCTCACGACCTATGTACTTGCAGAAAATCGCATGTGAGGTAGTTTAGGAAATTATAAATTCAAACCTTGACTATGGATTGAGATTTATTGTTGTATGCATACCCCGTGCACATCAAGAATATCATAATTAGTCATCATTTCATGCATTGGAAAGCAAATAAAAGAAAAAAAAAAGAACATAAAAATTACACAACAAAAACAGTTATAAATAATTATGTATTTTTTAACACTCAGGAACCGGAGGGTAAAATTGAAGAGAATGATTTGAAACATGATCCTTTGAGTCCTTTTCTTAGGTTGACAATTATGAAAACCTTAACAATGTAATTGAACCAAAAAGTCACCGATTTGTACTTTATACCCTCTCACATTTAAAATCCGAGAATGAGAAAAGGGAAAAAAAAGGGAACCTTGTGTATGTGTCTGCTAAATTTAAAATTCTGAAGTTTATTTGTCTTATTTTTTTACTTTACTTGTGACGACATTCTACCATGCCAAATACTGACCAGAAACTCAGCAAAGCAACAGCTCAAAAAAAAAAAACCAGTTCTAGCTTCAGGTAGAGTTTTTGTTTTCTAGGATTCGTAAAAAAAATTCTGCTTTGTGTCTTATTACTTATAGGGTAATTAATTCTGAAAATTTTGAGAGTTGAGTTGTTTTAAGAACTTCGAAAAGGAAAATTGAGAGTGAGTGTGTTTTCTTGAGTGATACACGAGTGCTTTGCAAGGTAGACTAGGATACATTTGTTTTGCAGGTTTGACAACATGTCTCAAGAGGGGAACATGCCTGAGCCGTCTGAGACTGACATGTCACTCAAACTAGTGCTCCAAGCTCTTCAAAAACAAGCGGAGAGACAGGAAGTTGTGATGACACAAATAGCCGACAGGCTGGCTGCCATTGAGATGCGAGGTACTGGAGATACATACAATAGGGCTTCGAGTGTTCAGAGTGCTGATCATGATGCGGATGATGAGGGATATCATTCTAACACCTCGATTCGATCAAGGAAAAGCCAAAGAGGAGCAAGGGAAGGTCGAGACCGACCTAGGAGAATCGATGACAATCTTGGGTCCATCAAGACCAAGATGCCTACCTTTCATGGGAAAAATGATCCTGAAACTTACTTGGATTGGGTTAGGCGAGTTGAGCAAGTGTTTGAGGTCCACAACTACTCTGAAGAGAAAAAGGTGAAACTTGCGGCTATTGAATTTGAAGATTATGCATCCATTTGGTGGGAGCAAGTATGTGCCATAAGGAGGAGAAATAGGGAACCATCAATTGACACTTGGGCTGAAATGAAGCAAGTGATGAGGAAACGATTTGTACCCTTCCATTATACCACGGACTTGTACAATCGGCTCCAACGACTCACTCAAGGTTCTAAATCGGTTGATGAGTACCACAAACAAATGGAGGTAGCGATGATAAGGGCCAATGTCCAAGAGGATCCGGAAGCAACCATGGCGAGGTTCCTTAATGGATTAAATCCTGAAATTAGGAAGAAGGTTGAGCTTCAAGACCACTTTGAACTTCAACAAATGGTGTCTTATGCAGAAAAGGTGGAAAAACAAGCCTTACCTCTAAAGAACTCTAGTGGCCGAACCACTACATCCTCTTCCACTCCTTGGAAAAGAAATCAATTGCCAACAACCAATGTTTGGCCAAGGCAAGGTAATAGAGAGAGGGAAAACAAGCGGATGGAACAACCGTCCCATCCGAGTGCAACTTCTTCTAAACCAACCCCGCGGCCAACTCTTCCAGGAGCAAATACATCTACCAACCAGCCAAAGGCATGTTTCAAATGCAAGGGAATTGGCCACCTCATGGCTCAATGCCCTAACCGAAGCATCATGTATATGAATGAAGAGGGAATGTGGCAAAGCGAAGGGGAGGAGGAATATGCGGACATGCCACCGCTTGAAGAAGAGGGGAAGGATGATGACCTGGTTGAAATAGAAGAGGACCCCGTGGCTCGAACTATGGTGACTATGAGAGTGCTAAATGCACAAGCTCAAGAAGATGATCTCCAACGGACCAACATTTTTCATACGAGATGCAAAATTGGAGATGAGGTATGTCTCATGATCATTGATAGTGGCTCTTGTACTAATTGCGTAGCTGCTGACTTTGTTGAGCAAAAACACCTTCCATGGACTTACCATCCTAAACCCTATAGACTATCTTGGTTAAATGATGGGGGGGAAGTCAAGGTGACCAAACAAGCTTTAATTGCTTTTTCTATTGGTCGATACAAGGATCACGTTTTATGTGATATAATTCCTATGCAAGCTAGTCATGTCTTGTTAGGGCGTCCTTGGGAGTATGATAGACAGGCTGATCATATTGGACTTACCAATAAGTATAAGTTCATTATGGACAACCTCAAAATCACTCTTTCACCATTGACACCTACACAAGTGTATGAAGAACAATTGCATTTAAGAAAAGAGAGAGAGAAAAGGCAATCGAAAGAAACAAAGAAAAAGCCGAATGAGAGAGAGAATGAGAGGAAAAAGAAAGTAGAGGCCGAATTGAGTGAAAAAGGAAATTCGAGTGGAAAAAAACTCAGTGAAGCCGAGAGCTTGAAAGTGAAAAAAAGGAATTTCTATGCAAGTGTGCGTGAGGTAGATATGGCTTTGAATGCACAAAGTTTTCTCATAGTACTTCTGTACAGGGAAGCTGATTATTCTTCTTTCTACACACTAGGCATAACCGATTCTCTTCCTAGTGCAATCTACTCTCTTTTGCAGGAATTCAAGGATGTGTTTCCGGAGGAACTACCGAAAGGATTACCTCCAATTCGAGGTATTGAACATCAAATCGACTTTGTTCCTGGAGCAGTTCTACCAAATCGACCAGCCTATAGAGCAAATCCGGAGGAAACAAAGGAAATCCAAAGGCAAGTCGATTCCCTCCTTGAAAAGGACCAGGTTCGTGAATCTCTTAGTTCTTGTGCGGTTCCAGTCATTTTAGTACCTAAGAAAGAAGGGACTTGGAGAATGTGTACCGATTGTCGTGCAATTAATAAAATCACTGTTAAGTATCGTCATCCCATTCCTAGGTTAGACGATATGTTAGAAGAATTGCATGGGGCAATTATTTTCACTAAAATTGATTTAAGATCTGGGTATCATCAAATAAGGATAAAGGAAGGTGACGAATGGAAAACTGCTTTCAAAACAAAGTATGGTCTTTATGAGTGGCTTGTGATGCCTTTTGGCTTAACAAACGCTCCAAGTACTTTCATGAGATTAATGAACCATGTTTTAAGGCATTTTCTTGGGAAGTTCGTTGTTGTTTATTTTGATGATATACTGATCTTTAGCAAGTCTTTAGAAGAGCATGTTGAGCATTTGCGACTTGTTTTAAGTGCCTTGCGTGAAAATAGGCTATTTGCTAACATGGAAAAATGTGTCTTTTGCACTTCTGAGGTTAACTTTCTTGGTTATATTGTTGGAGTAAATGGCATAAGTGTTGATCCCGCCAAGGTAAAGGCCATCATGGAGTGGCCGACTCCAACCAATGTGTCTCAGGTAAGGTCCTTTCATGGTCTTGCAAGCTTCTATAGGAGATTTGTTAAAGACTTTAGCACTATTGCAGCACCTTTGAATGAGATAGTTAAAAAGAATGTGGGGTTTCAATGGGGAAAAGAGCAAGAAGAGTCGTTTAATAAGCTTAAAAATTTGTTAACTTCAGCACCTATTCTTGCTCTGCCTAATTTTGATTTGATGTTTGAAGTTGAATGTGATGCTAGTGGGATCGGCATAGGGGCTGTTTTACATCAAAATAATAGGCCCTTGGCATATTTCAGTGAGAAATTGAGTGGGGGAGCTCTTAATTACCCTACTTATGATAAAGAATTGTATGCTGTTGTGCGTGCTCTTGAAGTGTGGCAGCACTATCTTATGTCTAAGGAATTTGTGATACATACTGATCATGAATCAATTAAATTCCTTAAGGGGCAGGGTAAGTTGCATAAAAGACATGCAAAATGGATTGCATTTATTGATTCCTTTCCATATATCATTAAGTATAAGAAGGGAAAAGATAATGTCGTTGCGGATGCTTTGTCTAGAAGGTATATTTTGATCACTAACCTGAGCACTAAGTTACTTGGTTTTGAGCACATTAAAGACTTGTATGCCCATGATGCTGATTTTTCTAATGTGTTTCAAGCTTGTGAACATGCTGCATTTCAAAAGTTTTATAGGCATGAAGGCTTCTTGTTCAAAGAAAATCGCCTATGTATTCCCAACTGTTCACTTAGGGAATTACTTGTTAGAGAAGCCCATGGCGGAGGGTTGATGGGGCATTTCGGTATTGATAAAACTCTTGACATTTTGCATGAGCATTTCTATTGGCCTAAAATGAGGCGTGACATTGCTAACATTTGTGATAAGTGTTTAAAGTGTAAGCAGGCAAAGTCAAGGAGTAACCCTCATGGATTGTATACTCCTCTACCCGTACCTCATGCTCCTTGGACAGACATATCCATGGATTTTGTGCTTGGTTTACCAAGATCTTCTACAGGTATGGATAGTATCTTTGTTGTAGTGGATAGATTTTCTAAAATGGCTCATTTTATCGCTTGTAGGAAAACAAATGATGCGCGCCATGTTGCTGATTTATTCTTCAAGGATGTGGTTAGATTGCATGGAGTACCGCGTACCATTGTAAGTGATAGAGATGTGAAATTCTTAAGCTATTTCTGGAAATCACTTTGGGGAAAGTTGGGAACTAAGTTGCTGTTTTCTACTTCTAGTCATCCCCAAACGGATGGTCAGACTGAGGTAACCAATCGAACCCTTGGTGCTCTATTTCGAGCCATTGTTCAAAAGAACTTGAAGAAGTGGGAAGAATGTTTGCCTATTGCCGAGTTTGCATATAACCGCACCACTCATTCTACTACCAATCATTCCCCTTTTGAAATTGTTTATGGGTTTCAGCCGCTAACCCCTCTAGATTTATCACCTATTCCTGTTAATGAGTGTTTAAGCGCAGATGGTGTCAAAAAGGCAGAAGCTGTTCGGACCTTGCATGAGAGAGTTCGAGCTCAAATTGAGAAGAAAAATGCGCAATATGCACAACATGCAAATAGGGGGAGAAAACATGTTGTATTCGAACCCGGTGATTGGATTTGGGTACACATGAGGAAGGAAAGATTTCCAACATCTCGACGGACCAAGTTACATCCAAGAGGCGACGGACCTTTTCGAGTACTAGAGAGGATCAACAACAATGCATACAAATTGGAACTTCCAAGTGAGTATGGCATAAGCGCATCTTTTAATGTGTCTGACCTATCTCCTTTTGACTTTGATACAGACTTTGAAGATTCGAGGACGAATCCTTTCGAGGAGGGAGGGAATGATACGGATACGGGTGCGCAACCACTTCAACCTTGGGTCAAGGACAACATTGACGGTCCGATGACAAGATCAAGATCCAAGAAGGTGAAGGAAGCTTTACAAGCCTTGATCATTCACCATACAAGCAAGGAGCAAGCTAGGTTTGAAGATTTGATGGACCATGACGTTACTTTGTTCACTTGTACGTTTGAAGTGAAGGAATGATCTCATACTTGTTAGTTTAGTTGGTAGTTGTTTTAAAACTGTCTAGTTTAGTAGTTGTTAGGCGTTAAGTATTTTATTACTTATTGGGCCTTATCGGAAAGCCTTAAAGAGCTGACTCTTTAAGCTCTTTATGCGGACCGAATTTCTTTCAGGTTTATGTGAGCCGGAGTTTGCCCTAGTTTTAGCCTATAAAAAGGCACCTCTTGTATCAGTCCGCACAGAATATTTTACAACCAGAAATCGTGAGAAATTTTCCTTCAAGTTCTTAATCGAACTTACTCTTGAATTCTTGAGTTCATTACTTAGGATTCAAATCTGACTTTATCGATTAGTTTGTTCCCTAATCGTGGTGTCTCTTCATCCATCATTATTTGCTTAAGGTTGCTAATTGCCTTTGTGTGTCAGAGGTCTTGAGTTCATGAGAACAATCGAGTTCAATTTTCATTGGGAGAAACGATCCAACTCTGATAATTACAAGATTGGGAGGTTCTAGGAGGGTCTTCCCCTAGGGTTGCTCATCACACTGTCTATTAGCCAAGTTTCAGTACTGAAATTATTGCTTGCAAAACAAGTGGCTACGAAAAGTTGCTCATCATCTTGTTCATCAACCATCTGAGCATGATGTTCTCTTTTTCCTTTATTTTTGCAAACTCTCTCCATATGTCCCATTTGCTTACAAAACCTACATTGAACGTCAGGTCTAAACCAACAATATATTGAAAGATGTGAGGTTTTCTTACAGTGTGGACACGGAGGATTTCTGCCATTTTTCTTCTTATCTTTGCTAAATTTTTTTTGATCATTTCTCTCACCTTGTCGAATTTGATCCTCATTTGTTACTTGAAAAGCACCTTCAATGACTTCTTCAGTTCTTATGGCTCGTCTTTGTTCTTGTGCCTCTAAAGCATTGATCAATTCTGGCAAGGTCATCTGAGATAAATCCCTTGAATCTTCAAGAGAGGAAATCTTGGCCTCAAACCTTTCTGGTAAACTCACCAAGACTTTCTCCACAACTCTGCTATCTGGAAGTTGTTCTCCAATCAATGTGATTTTGTTCACAACATTTAAGAGTCTGTCAGAGTACTCTTTAATATTTTCTTTGTCTTTCATCCTAAGGAGTTCAAATTCTCTCCTAAGGTTCAAAACTTGCATCTGTCTTATTCTGTCATTGCCTTGAAAAGCCACTTTGAGAGTATCCCAAGCTTCTTTTGCAGTTTCACAAGTCATAATTTTTGTGAATACTGCATCGGAAACTGCTGAATGAATGCAAGTCATGGCTTTTGATCTCCTTTTGACTGCATCTCTATGGGCTCTCATCTCTGCAATAGTTAGATCTTCTGACAATTCAGGAACAGGATCTGTCTCTACTACATTCCAAAGATCATTAGCATCCAAATAGGACTTCATTTTGACAGCCCAGATTTGGTAGTTTTCACCAGTGAAATTTGGAGGATTGGACAAGAAGTTGTTTCCTGGCATTTTGATGTTGAAGGCTTAAGTGTATAATTTTATAGTGAAAAGGATTTCTCACCAAGTTCACTCGCTCTCAAAAACAAAACTCAGGCCCTTAAGATATAGGCTCTTGATACCACTTTGTTGGTTTTTTGGGGCATAAACTAAGAAACAACACCTTAGTGTTGCAAAAAAAAGCTTATAAGAGACTTGTACTGAAGGTAGAAAATGAACTTATTGTTCTACATTCATCAACTCACTATTTATAGTGATTACATGAAACAAACTAGCAAAATATCCAACTAACAATTATCCTAGAAATCTCAACAAAATATAATCTCCTTCTACTAGCAAGTCTTATCTAAAATATCTGTTAATAAACCAACATGATCTTTTGTTAACAAATATCCTTATTTTTCTAATAACTAATTTTTGATATCAAACTCAATTTGATAAAATCTGTAGGAAAAGCTGGCATATCTCAACAACACTTCACATACACCCCTGACATCTCAAACTAGAGCTAAATGTGGCAATGGCGTGAACCAGTTGCTTGGTGTGTTTTGTAAATTCAATGCCAACCTCATCCTCTCAAAGAAACCAAATTTTTCCTTGAACAAAAGCTGTTGCCTTATCAAAATGAAGAAAACGCTTGACATCTACCAACTGATTAACATCTAACATTGGTTCCAAAAGAACCACTAAGTGAATCGAATTATCACAAACTATCTTCCTCAAATAGCGAAGGAAGTCCATGCGAGAAGTCCCCGTATATTCCAAACTAGTAATTTAATTGAATTTAACATAAGAACGTAAAACATAAGAGGCTTGAGAAGATTCGTGAACCTACACTTTAGACTTTGGAGGACTTCTGCATCTTCTTTTACCCTTAGCTGGCCGCACAGTTGCAAGGTTTTTCAACAGTGCAATATCCTTTTCATCTAATCTTGACGAGAAAGGACATTTCTCCTCTAATGATTTCAATGCCTGCAATTTTCGATGCAACTCTCCTTGAAAAACCTTGAGTTGCTACAAAGTACTAGACTGTCGAGAGAGGTTTGTAGGTGATAGAGCACATTGCAACACCTGGGGTGGTATTGGATCAACCTTGTCCGATAGCTTCTGCAATGGAGCAAAAGTATTATTCAACTCCAACCCCACCTCGTCATCAAAATTTACATCAGTGAGAAAGCCCTCCAGCAGAGAGGCATGCTCATTTGCTAGTGCCATGGTGTTCGGCTCAGGCGCACCAGCGGCATCTGCATTCTGATCAAGAGAGCCCTCATGAAGCTCGTCACCTCTACCCATCGACATCAAATTATCTTCCGACTCATAACTAGCTTGCATCGAACCTCCAACTTTCTGCCCACACATATCCTGAGCTTCAGGTACAATCAAACTTGACACCAACTGTTGACTAACGACTGCCACAGCCTGGTGTTGTGTATTTCCAGATCAACACATTCTTTCTCTTTTTCAGTGTTTTCAAATTTGGAAAGCTCCACTTTATGGCTAACGACCGCCACTTCCTGCACTTGATGGACTGCCAGATCATCACATGTTTTTTCCTTTCCCTTATCCCCAACTTTGTATATGTAGATTTGACGTAATTTCGATCCTTCTTGTTGTCTTTTATGCTGAGATTTCAGTTTAGGTTTTAGGGACAGGTTCTTCCTAAAACATTTATCCTCATGATGGCCAACGGGGGCACAAAATTGGTAGTAGGATGGCGAATTTTCAAACTCCACCCTTTGCCAGAAACCAAAATCATCATCACCTATCCATACCCTTTTCACCAGCTCTTTTGAAACAACCTCCGGAAGAGCACGTGCAATTGATGGATAACACAAATCACGTGCTACTGAGTCCACCCAAAGTAACCGTCCCAACGTTGCAGCAAGCTTGGCAATCAGATTCTTGGCAAAGAATGGAATTGGAAGGTCAGGAAAAGACGTCCAAACTGGAACTACCGAAAGCTTCTAATTAGCCCTAAAATCAAGTGACCACTTTGACACAACCATTGGTGTATTATGAATGAACCACGTCTACCATGAAAAAAATTCTTGTTTAATCGTCTTAAAGCATCGGTCTGATCAAAATGTGATTAGGGTCAAGAAGACCGACAATGCACTTGCCTTTGAGCCCTAAGGAAACAAAAAACTTTCTGATGACCTCCATTGGTGGCTTGTTGAATGAGAAGTGCCTGACTAACATGTTTTGGAATGGTTCGACCAGAGACACTAATTCTTGTCGGGATAGATGCAGTGCCGACTCCCCTCGATACGTTGAAACCACACCAATACCCAAGGGAGTATCTGTCAATGCCGTTCCAGTAGTAACCACCGCTGCAAAACTCCTCCCTGCGAGAGGAGGATCTCCACTGCCAAAAAGGTCCGATGGTCGTGCAGTCACCATTTACAAAGAAACCCTAATTCTCCCTTTATCTTTTCTTTAGTGTTTTTTCTAATTCTCCTCACAAAGATAATTCTCCCTATCTCTTTTCCATGATCAACTTTGTAATGCTTAATGTCACAAATTAAGATTAGTGTTATCATTAACATTATCATTATTATATAAAAAGTTCCACGAGTCTTGGTACTTTGGACTGTAAGTGTACTCAGATAGCCACTAAACTTTTTGAATGGTTAAGATTTAGCCACCGAATTATTAATAGTATATTTTTACCCACTAAACTATTAAATGTGTGAATTTTGAACCATTTCATTTGATTCCACCGTTAACTCTGTCAAATTTAAGGGCACGATTCATGTGACATACTATCAATAGTTAGATTTGACAAAGTTAATGATAAAATCAGATGAAATGACCCAATATTTATACTTTCAATAATGTAGTGGGTAAAGGCATACTATTAATAGTTAAATGGTCAAACTTCGACTATTTCAAAAGTTTAATGGCTATTGGGTAATTTGCTCTTATTATTATTACTATATAAAAAATACCATGAATTTTGCTACTTTGAAGTGTAAGTGAAAGCATTATTGTGATGTTAACTTTTATTATTTCAATTATACCCTTATTAATTGATGATTGAGATTTCATATTATTCTCTTTTCAGTTTTTAATTTATTGTAATGATTAAAATTCATTATATCATATATATATTGATTTAAAAGAAAATGATGGTTGATGACTAGACAAAATATTAAGAATTAGAGACTAAGTAGGATCTTGTCTTTGTTTTTATTTGTCCAAAATATCCTCCTCCCTAATATTTAGATTTATTGCATTTCACTAATAACAATAATTGTAGTAGTTAGGAAGAAAACTATAATCTTAATTAAATTTGAATTATGAAGACAATAAAAAATATAATACTCCAAACCAATGTGTCTCTGTGCGTTCTATTTTTAATTTTTTTTATTTTCATTAAAAATTCTTGATTAGTCACTACCTATTTAAATTTTTAAATCTTCCAAAAATATTAGTATTGATACCAGAACCAGGTGTTATTAGAATAATAGAATGTTTATCATTTGTGCTTTATGTTAGATTTTGTCCAAAAAATTAAAAATTAATAGGAAACATAAAAAGAAAAAGCTCAATTATCTCTACCAATGAAATTTCAATTCTCAAAAAATGAATAGTTAGATAGAAAAAATTTATATGTGGTGGATCATTCATACTCCATTATTAATAGAAACAGTACACACAAAATAAAACAAAGAGTTCGACATCAAAAAATATTTCATTTTTCAAAAAACATGCATATAATTGCATATTGAGGAATTTCATCAAGCAATTGACAAATTCAAATACAGTAACCTGAAAAAAAAATAATGGTAGAGCATGAAATAGATATTTATGCACAAAGTTTATTTATTTATTTTATTTTACTTTTACCCTTCCACCCCCTTTTTACATCCTTTCCATCCCTTATTGTAAAGTACATGATTTGAATCCTAAATTTGACATCGAAGAAAACTTTAAGAATTCTACTTTGACCATTGGGCCAACCCAATAGTTAACAAACAATTAACCTTTACTTAGCTTGTGAATTCAGATCTTCTAAGTACAAAAGAAAAATAAAAAATTGTTCATATATCTAATTAAAACTTAAAAATTTAAAAATTTTAGTGGTATTATCATAATTTGTTTGCCTTTAAAAAAAAGAAAAAACAAATAGAAGTAATTAGAAGTATTGATATTGTACATACCGTTCAAAATATTGATGCTTTTGTCAAATTATTTCATATTTGGTCAAATCTTTATTTTTTAAAATGTTACATTTTCATCTTTTTTTAATTAATTGTCTTCAAAACTGATATTAGAAATTGAAAGAGACTAAATGATAGAGCAGTTATTTGGCACATTTTGCATTGTCATCTTGTTCTAATTTTGGCTATTCATGGTGCTAAGAAAGGGAATTTCACTTATATTTGATATTTGTGTGAATTGTAGGTGGTTAGCATTAAAAATGATGTCTTGAGGTGAATTTCCAGAAGACTTCTTATTTCAGGGCGTGGCCACGCCTTTGAAGGTGGACGAAACCGAAAGCCGGACCCTGGTCCACGTGAACCGCGAGGAGCACGGGATTAAAACTCCAAAAGTCCCTTTGTTTCAATCAATTGAGTCACGTTTGAGAAGCTCCTGACGGCGGCTATATAAAGAATAAAAAGGGAGATTCAAGGACATCATCTATTTTAGGCTTTAGTTTTCTTTTTCCTAGCCGTCAGACGTCAGCAGACCTTTCCGTTTTTGCTCTTGGCTTGGGCGCTTTTGACTCATTTGCTTTTACTTTGGCTCTGTATAATTTCCATTGGCTTGTGCGTTATACTTTTGGGCTTCAGTACAAACATCAACGCGGAGACAAGGAAGACTTTTTCCTTTTTCTTTCTTCGGTACTTCAGCGTTCCAAATTCTGTGATGTTTGCGCGGGTGTTTTCAATTAAATCACGCGGGATTGATACGATGAGGAGCGGCTAATTTCCTCCTCTACCCAAAGGTTGACGCGAAGGCGCGGTCCATAATATCTGTGAGATCTAACCGAATCTTCATTATTTCCT